AATAATAATAATAATAATAATAATAATAATAATAATAATAATAATAATAATAATAATAATAATAATAATATAATTAATAATAATAATATAATTAATAATAATAATAATAATAATAATAATAATAATAATAATAATAATAATAATAATAATAATAATAATAATAATAATAATAATAATTAATAATAATAATAATAATAATAATAATAATAATAATGACAGTAATAATAATAATAACAATAGTAATAAATAATAATAATAGTATCAATAACAATAATAATAATTATTATCATTGAAACAGATTGCAAACACGAGAAACGCTGGCTAATTCAGAACACGCACATATCAATGTGCTAGCATTCTGTCTGTTGCAGGATGATGTCTATGCTTTACGTAATGAGCAGAAAATAAATTGAATGTCAATAAAGCATTCATTGAGTAGCCTCCGCTTCTCTTGGCATCTCACTGTCATCCCATACTGTCACCACTCTCTAATTTCACAATTGTTCCTCAACCATTCCTTCATCGGTTAAAAACTGTAAAACTTCACTCTTCTTGGTGACAATTGTGCAGTCATTAAAACTCGGCACTACCCTCCATCATTTTGATAGCACATGGTCGAGTATCAGAACACTACGGTAGCAATAAGCTCTAATTGCTATTGATAATAACATTTTGTGTAGCCAGCCATAATGCGTGTGTCGTTGTGAGAGAATATATTCCAAAAGCAGTACTGTGTTTACCTAAGGAACCCAGTAGTGCCATTCGGAAATAAGTGTCAGCTACCTAGTTCGAAGACATAAAACAATGAATTGATTCAAAATCCAGGGCCAACTTTGTGCAGAACTGATTATTGCTTGTATAACTCTTAAATCAAACATATTGACTTTTTTCCCCAGAAGGAATTATTACTTCTCATTAATGGTTGAATATGCATCATGGACCTAAACCCAGTTTCAGATGAACACGATCAAATGCAGAAGAAGACATTTACCAAATGGGTCAATTATCACCTTGAAACAGTTAGTTTTTCATCTTATTTCACGAATTCAACATTCTGAAACTTTGATGATTCGCCGTTTGAATCTGCAATAGTTTCAATGTCCAGGGATGTAATGCATTGAATAATGGTTAACGGAATCGGCTCGAAGATGTCATTGGGTGAAATAATATAATGGAAAATTTCTGAATTCCTTTTCATCTATTAGTTGTTTAATAGAGCCAATTATTATTGAAAATCTCCAAGAAATTTGAGTCCTCGAAGCTAATTTTAACTTGGTTCAAATAATTTTAGGATTATCAGAACTGTTTTTTTTCAACAATGTTGTACATTCCGAAAAAAACTGAAATATTGGAGTGGGAAAATGTGATTTACAAATGTTGGCAGGATACAATCAGGAAATTTTAATCCCGCTAAATCCTCCATTAAAATTATCCTAGAAAGGGAACTTTGCACTATTTTCTGGTGGGGAAGCGATCAGTTGTCGAGGTCTTTCCTTATATCTACAAGATAACCTAAAACTTTTTTCGACCCATTCTGATCTTAGTTGAAATGAATCATCATTACATACTTTGCAGTGATGTTTTAATTCAAGAATTAAAAGTAAGCGTGAACTGCTTCTATGCAGATTATCATGAAATTTAATTTATTATTGAACATTTTTTCCCCTCTGAAATCTTCCATCCACTTACACTTTCTCTTCGTCCTTATGCCAATTAGTTTGTGAGAAATCAGTCATATTTTACACTTCCATTATATTTCATTGAAAAGTTCGTAAATGAATATTTCCTCAATATAAATTCATCATTCTCCTACAGTTGTTGTGATCCTCAATGATTTGTGTCAAATCTTGTTTTCAGAGAAATAATTTGTACAGGCTGGTACAAAACTCGTGCTAAAAGTCTTCTAAAAGTTAAAAGAAATTTTATTTTAATTTTAATTCTAGGTCTGAGAATATTTTCACAAAGCAAAAATATAGATCCATCTTAAAACGGATTGAATTCGGGATAACCTATTGGAGGAATGAAGGAATGCTGCATACAGATCCCATCTGAATGGAAGAATTGGAGCTTTGGTCAGCCGAAATTTAGCGACTAACTGGAAGGATTATAGAATTTTTCTTAAATTTCGGAAGCAGCTCATTGGTTCTTTTGTGTCTGATACCATTTCGTTACCGTCCCATTGAAACTCTTGTTTATTCATTTCACTGGAATTCTTTTATTTTTCCTGTAAATCAGTTACAATTCATTTTCGAAGCTGCTAAAATTTTCCTCAAAAATTTGTTCTGTTTGGAATTCGATTTCATAATTTCGGCAAGATTGAAAAACATATAGTTCTCTGCTTAAAATTTTCTTCGATGTTTCTGTTGAAAAGCAACAATGCAGATGAACTTGTTTAATTTTTCGAATAAATAATCATAATTGTGGGAGTAGAACCATAAACTTCAAAAGCAAATAACAAGTGATTACATTTCCCAGCTCGATATATTTTTGTGAATTACATTAACTTGCCAAAATAACTAGGATTTTCTTTTTTTTCTTTTTTTTTTAATTCGAAATAGGAATTAGTCATCTTGATTTATTTGAACTTCCGTATAAATGGCCTTCAACACAAGCCTTATCGATCATAGTGTTAGCAATTCAGCTATCCCTAACAACAAAGTAACTGAATTGACAAAATATTATGATATGATGAGAATGATAAGAGTGATGAAGCAGTGCAAGTACATTTGTAAAATATGCAAGTACATTTGTTTGAACAGTACATTTGTGTTGCGAAACGTAACAGAGTCTGCTGTAAATATGGCATTAAAAATAACACTTTCATCGAATTATTATTACTAATTGCGAGATTATATGTCTCATTCCACATCCCATTACCAAGTTTATCCATCGGTGCAGCATAATGAAAACAAAAGCAAGGATAAAATGTGGAGTTTTACTTTAAAAATTGTGTTGAGGTTATAAGTAAATGTGCAACATAATGTCCAATTCTTGTGCATAAGCTTTCTGTAAAAGCGTATAGCACCAAACATTGAACCCGTCTCTTTCATTTCATTGGTATCCAAACTAATTCCGCTTATCTTACTTGATAATTTCGGTACATGATTTCTGTTTTTTGACATTATCATTTGATAATATCCTAAAGATAATATCCTAAAGTTAGTTGTTCATTAGATCATCTTAGGGACATAAAGTTATGTAATATAATATAGTAAAATATATAAACTATGTATAACTAAACCTTTATTAACTCAGCAAGTGTTAATAAAATCTCATAAAGTAACCTTTTCAGCACAGTTCATCAGAATTGGTGGAAGACCTATTTGAGGATCTCAGGGATGGCGTATTATTATGCCACCTCATCGAGGTTCTTACCGGTGAAGCACTGGTATGTTCTTCCTCCTAAACATTCATTTTGTACACATAAACGATCAGAGCGTGATTATAGTGATATCAATAAGTTCTTTCAAGGTTTTCTAGAATAAATATCACTGATGCTTTTGTGAGAAGAACCCTGATCCGTTTGTAAACGTGGTGAATTTGATGAAAATTGAGTGGAAAAATTATAGAAATGAAAACCTCATGGTTTAGTCGAGCCAACATTTTTGTTCAATATTTGTTAACATTGTAAAATTAAAGGGAATTAGGAAATGAAATTGAAATTTCAGACTCTGCTAGCAGCATACATCTTAAAATCTTTAAAATGCAGATAGATTTGTCGATCGGTTTTACAGTACTTCAACATTGATAATAGATAACCTTCATGTATTCTTAAATTTCAATAGAATTTCAAAAATTTTAGCCAGTTAATAAAGCAAAGGAATCAAAACGGGTACACCATATCAGCAATTTGACAACAGCGCTAGCAGCTTTGCGACGTCGCGGTCTTGACTTAGTCAACAATAATCCAGCAGATATAGCCAATGGAAATCCTCGTATAATTTGTGGACTTATTTGGCAGATGATCCTCCATTTCCAAGTACGGAAATATGTAAATTTGCTAAATTTCCCCGAACAGTTTTTTTTTATTTCTCCAAATTTTTTTTAAATCGAATTTAAAAGTATAGATTATTTTTTTGTTCTTCCTTTTTACACACGAATTCTTACAGATTGAAACCAATGTTCAGTTGTTGAAAGAGTGGGGATTTGAACTAGAACTGGCCAATAGTCCATCAACGTCTAGAATTGGTAACGGAAATAGCCCCTTCGGCAAATTACCATACCAATTACGTGTTGGACATCTAAAAGCACCTGTTGATCGTGTAATATTACGATGGGTAAATGCACAACTTGCAAGGTATTTTAAATATTGATTGATTTTCTCGAAGTATTGTTCACACATTTTGAAGGAAGTAAATACTAAATAGGTGCAAAATGATAAGTCGAAAAGTTGGAAAGTGGTCTGACCAAAGAAGTGAGATACAGACATTCCTCAAGAAATTGTTCGGAAGTGAAATGTTTGAGAAAAGGGAGATAAAAGAAATGAAAATAAATAAAAAATCAAATAAATAAGTTCGAAAGCACGATATTACGATCAGAAAAAAGGCAAGAAATAAGCGTATGTATTGAAAATTAAGTGAAAAATTTTTTAGACCTTATAACATAAAGCTGACTGATATGGATAAAAGTTGGCGTGACGGAGTTGCTTTCAATGCACTGATACATCGTGTAAGACCCGAGCTGGTTGATATGGATATCGTGTATCGAAGCACTCCTAAAGCGAACCTTCAGCAGGTGAATAAAGTTCACTCAGTGGATTTGAATAGTTTAGAATTGAAAGTTGGGATCTTAAATCTTTTGAAACAATATTTCACTTTCGCATAATTTGATTCGACAGTATTCACGTTAAATCTTCACACCATGTAATACACTTTTGCTTATACCTCATTTTGCTTCCTGCTACTCATAGATGGAATATGTAATAATAAAGTTTCAGGCATTTCGACTAGCAAAGGAACATTTGCATATACGACCATTATTGGATGTGGAGGATATGTTGTGTGACAAATCGGATAAACGTTCTGTGATTACTTACGTATCACAATTTATTCGTACCTTAAAACACTTGCGACCGATCGCTACATATCCGGTGATTGACGACCATTCTTTGATTACCTGGATGGAAGATACTTTGAGCATTTTGAGATCTTCTGTTAGTACATCACTCTACGACCAATACCAGGTGACTGCGGAAATTCACCTTGGCAAAACATTCCCCTAAAATATAACCATTAGCTATCTGCACAGTGATTGATAACATGCACTTATTGCTTAGATAAAAGATACCTTGAGCTCTTGAGATCTTCCATTAGTGCTGTTGAAGTAAGAGTATCCTAATAAGCATTTTCTCCAAGTGGAACCATAATAATAAAAAATACTACACATGCATGTTTATTTTTTCACCGATTCCTTGACAATTTTTCAGTTTCTAATCTTTCCACTATTTCCCTTATTGATTTTTTTGTTTTAAATCCAGCTAAAACAGCAATAATTATTATTATCATGGCTGGGCTTCGCGAGCAATGATTTGAGGAAGGCTTTGACCCACGCTTATTCCAAACACTACAAATCTGAATGTGTCCTTCGAGCCTGCGTAGTGTATTTTTTTAGTTGACCCACAGCATACACAAAACCTGCTTCTTTTATTCCTAAGGTTCATTTGCTAAGGAAAACTTGGACAGTGACAGCGAAGTCCTCAGGATGCAGGTTTTGTTGGAGTATCCTTCTTTTAGGTGAATGGCCTTACAGAGCTAGGCGAGCTCTCTCTGCCCAGGTTTGGAGTTTTCTGCTAGGACCGTTGTCGAAGGGCTAACGAGCCCATCCTGTTCGTGGACACATTTTGTCCAGCTACTGAGCATCATCATCATCATGATTTAATTTCCTACATTTTTCATTGTATATTTTTAAAAATATGACCGCGTCACTTAACATACGCGTAAGTAATGTAATTTGCTAGCAACATCTGGTTAAGCTTAATTATTACAGTTGTGGCAAAGATATTGTTTTGTATCAAATTTAATTTAATTCCCAATTGCATATACATTACAGAGATATCTGTCATTGCGGAAACAATATTTTGAGCATCGTAGTGCGTATTATTCACTTCGCGAACATGCCAGTACACTACCGGAAGGCGAATGGAATCAGATTGAAACCAGGTAAGGCTCAACTTGTTGCTCATATAGAAACCAGAACGATTTATTAAATATCCTTTAGCAATTAAAGAGCACGACAGGAAAGATATGACGTCGGCTGATTTCAAGTAATCGATACATTTGTCTTTTAATGAAAACATCCTCAAGTAGATTTACTTGGATGGAGATTGATTGGTGGTGTCGAGATTTCCATCAACACTTCATTAATTAACAGAAATATATTGAAGTTTGGACGGTGATGACAGAGGAGACATTCATATATATTACGGACACTGTTTTATATACCAGAAATTTATCCATTGTTCTTTCCATCAGAAAATTTCTATTCAAAACTGTTCCCCTTCCCCTTTGATTGATAAAAATAGCATTTTAGCGATATATGATAAATGAATTAGTTACCAGTTACTGTGATGATTGGACAGTAAAAGTTAAAAGCAATAATATTGTTGTACCCTTTCGATGCTTTGTTTTTATCAGCAGCATTTTTTAGATTTAAGTTTCTTCATATTAACTGAGACGAGCCAGGCCTTTTTTTGAACCTATGAATAAAAACATTTCCGTTTCACATTGATAAAAATACATTTTTTGTGTATTTTAAGTCTTAATACATCAAAAGTAACGTCAAAAGAACCAAGTATTAGTGAGAGGTTTAACAGTTTAATTTTCTGTAGAGATCGTGATATAATCTGTAAAGATAGTAAGAGAAAAAATTATAAACCAATAAATTAAAATAAAAGAATGAGCATGAAGGAATTAGTTGTACTTACCGAGAAAAAGAATGAGCATAGAAGGAATTAGTTGTACTTACCGAGA